CATCACAGCAGCTCAAAACAGGACAGGGTGAGATAGAATAAAGAAAGATAAGTAAAAGGTAAAAAAACACTATAGTCGTGGTATATAATAATGTATATACAGTACATAAATGAATGTATATGAAGGTGCATATTAGTGATGGCAGTGTAGGTGAATTGTCCAAGTGACTGATAACGTCATGATGTGTTGTACAGTCTAACTGCAGTTGGAATGAATGACCTAGTGGTGTGCAGATCAGTTCTGTAATATGAATAAATCAATACTGAAATCTAAATATCAACACTTTGATATATCAGTCATCTCAGGTAACATATATCATTAACTGGAACAGTGGAAAGTATCTAAACTATTAAAATCTTGTTTAAATCTTACACTGTTGGTGGAAACTACTTTTCATTTAATGTCTGTAGATGTTACACGTTCAGTGCTTTCATGTTAGCATGTTCATGTAGCTTAAATTAAGCCACACGTTATCATTTTATTGCTGTTCTTTATTAATAAACAGTAGTCTGTTTTAATGGTTTTATTGTTTTACTTCATTTTTCTATGTAAAAGTGGATTTTCTCATATTTTGTATGATTATGTCCTGGGGTTTGTGTTTTAATAGCTTGGCTATCACTATGCTTCTGAGTTTAAAATGAATAAATACATTAGTCTGATGTCTTGTATTCTTTATTTTTACATTTACCAGACACATTAGGTGTATTTGCACAATGTATTAATATTGGATCAGTATTGCTGATACCACTTAGAGTTTTACTCTGTATCAGATTCGGAAAGGAAATCAGTGGTTTCGAACATCACTATTTTGAACAAAACCAAAATTATGTCAAAGTAGTAAAAAAATTAATTAAATTAAACAAAAAGACCAGATCAGATGCAGAAAAGAATAAGAGGATTAGATGAAGGTGAACCAAATATGGTGTACAAACACATAATGCTCCACTGAGGAGTAAAAGAAGGCTAAAAGTTACAAGGACTGAGGCTGATGTGAGACGTGGCTGCAGCTGTGACAGGTGAAACAGAGAGCAGCAGAAACTAAATGTAGAAACAACTAAACAAACAAAAGAAACTACACACCTTAAGAAAAGAAAAACATGAAAATCAAACAGAAATGTAAATCTTGAAAAACTCTGATCATGATATGTAAAACAGTATCTCCAACATTCCAGCTTAGGACACAGTTGTAGCATCCAGTCCTAAAATACACAGCTCTTTCTGCAACACAGCCACACAAACAAACGCACGGGAAAAAATTAGCTTTTGTTCCAGGATTCATGTGAGACTGAAGTGTTACTTTCCTCTCAGGAGAGACGGAGTGTTTGTAGTGAAAGTCTTAATTACCCAGGACAGGATATTGAGAAACTGCACCGAATGCCCTGCAGTCAGACATCACGCATTCATACGCTCAGAAATACACTCAGAGAGACAAACACAAATACAGACATAAAAATACTTCCTATTTCCCTGCTTATTATGCAGATCATTCCCATGATTCTTGTCACTTGTAGTTATCAGATGATTCTCCGTATTTGAAGGCATTCCCAATGGTTGATCTTCCATGTTTTTTTTCTTTTTTTGTATGTTTGAGTAGTTTTCCTTTTCATGAAGAAGTCCGAAGGGGMTGTTGTTGAGTTTTTTTGAGTTTTTCTCTTTATGGACCTTTTTGTTTCAAGGTTAAACTTTATTATTTTCCTTTCTACCTCTTTCTTTTTGGTGTGAAAGACCAGTGGTTTGATTGAAACCATAAATCTGTTTGACAGAAAAGCCTGGGGTTTGACTGACCCTCATACTGGTCCAGTAGGTTAAATGTCAACTCCTTTGAGTGATTCCTTTCACTTCAGATTAAAAAACTTTGGAACAAAATTTTTTGAATCAATATATATAT